AAAAGAAAGGTTGAGAAACACTGTACTAGAACATGAATAGTGCTGACTAAAGAGAAAACTTGCAGATGGAAGAAGCAACCCATTCAGACAAAATTATTTGTTCACCCTTTTTTTCTAAAAACAAAACCAAATCCAGGAAAAGTGTGTGTGTGTGTGTATAAATTTAATACAGTTTTACATCTGAAAATTTCAGGCATTACACAATTCTAGTTTCCTTAGCACACTGCACACACAGAATTTAGCTTTAAAGTTGACACCACATACAGCAATACCATAAACTTCACATCTAAAAAGGGGCTAAGTTTGAGTGGGTGACTAATCTGAACTGTGAATTTCCTGGACCATGTCTGTAAAATACCAACCTTCTCATTGCATTCATGTTGAGTTTAATTATATTAGCGACCAATAAATTATTTAACAGTAATGATCAAGGTATTTCACAGCAAACCAAATTCAGGTTTTTAGGGTATATTTTCTACTGCAAATATTTTGGAAAGTTTTATCTCAGACAGGGAAGTACTAAGACTCAGCTCTTCCTGTAATAGTTGGTCAGCCTTTATTTTTAGTTTTCAATTGTCAGTATTTTTTTCCCTTATGTAAAGGAAGTGTAAGAACTGCCAGTACTAGAAGCTAAACTGCCTTATTTACAGTTCTACTATGATGCACACATTTGCAGTGAAGCCCAGTCCAATGTTTTGAGTGGAGGGGCATAACAGATAATAAAATCATAGAATACTAGAAGTGGAAGGGACCTTGAGAGGTCTTTGAATCCAGTTCCCAGCCCTCACAGCAAGACCAAGCTCTGTCTAGATCATCCTTGATAGATGTCTATTCAACCTGCTCTTAAATATCTCCAGTGATGGAGATTCTACAACCTCACTACACAATTTATTTGAGTGTTTAATCACCCTGGCCCTTAGGATGTTTTCCTAATATCCAACCTAAACCTCCCTTGCTGCAGTTTAAGCTTCTTGTTCTATCATTTGAGGCCAAGGAGAACATTTTTTCTCCCTCCTCTTTTAGATACTTGAAAATCGTTAGCATGTTCCCTCTCAGTCTTCTCTTTTCTAAACTAAACAAGCCCAATTATTTCAGTCTTCCCTCATTGGTCATGTTTTCTAGACCTTTAATAATTTTTGTTGCTCTTCTCTGGGACTTTCTCCAATTTTTCCACATCTTTCTTGAAATGTGGTGCCCAGAACTGGACACAATACTACAATTGAGGCCTAATCAGCACAGAGTAGAGCGGAAATATGACTTTTCGTATCTTGCTCACAACACTACTGTTAATGGAACCCAGAATCATGTTTGCTTTTTTTGCAACAGTATCACACTGTTGACTTATATTTAGCTTCTAGTCCACTATGACGCATAAAACTCCTTCCTAGACAATCACTTCCCATTCTGTATGTGTGAAACTGATTGTTCCTTTCTAAGTGGAGTACTTTGCATTTGTCCTTATTAAACTTCATCCTATTTACCTCAGACCATTTCTCTAGTTTATCCAGATCATTTTAAATTTTGACCCTATCCTCCAAAGCACTTGCAACCCCTCCCAGCATGGTATCATCTGTAAACTTAATAACTGTAATTTCTATGCAATCATCTAAATCGTTGATGAAGATATTGAACAGAACTGGTCCCAAAACAGACCCCTGCGGAACCCCACTAGTTATGCCCTTCCAGCATGATTATGAACTGTTAAAAACTACTGACAATGGTTATCCAGCCAGTTATGCACCCACTTTATAGTAGCCCCATCTAAGTTGTATTTCCCTAGATGGAGAAAGATGATTAAGGGTTCAAGCCTATAATATCATTGAAGTCAATGGAGCTATGAACATTTATATCAGCTCCCTAGGGCACCTGACATTGGCCACTGTTACAAGACAGGATATTGGGCTCAATGGACTTTTGGTCTGACCAAATATGACCATACTTATGTTCTGTAAGTTCAGATGAAACTATTTTTTTTATTTTACTTACATATGGTATGAATAAATCTATTTATCCTGTTCATGCTAGGATCTGTAAATTATGTATGCATTTCATGCACCAAAGTTGTAAAATGGGCTACAAGTGCCATTAGGAAAAAGCATTACAAAGTTTAACAAATGGAAGACTCTCCTCACCTGAGGTACCATTTGGTCTAGGGCCATCACTGCTTACAGAACTTTTGAGAGTCACCTAGAGTATGTCTAGACCCATAGCTCAAAATAAGCTACACAAATTGCATAGCTTATTTCAACTCAATTTCAAAAGAGCTTATTTTGAAATATGGTGCTGTCTACACAGCACTTATTTCAAAATAAATCACTATTCCGAAATGTCCCTTATTCCTCGTGGAAGGAGGTTTACAGGGATGTCAGAATAGCAAGCCCATTATATTTCGAAATAATGGGTGTGCTCAAAAGACGCAGAATAGCTATTTTGGGATAGTTTTGGTATCCCGAAATAGCACTGCAGTGTAGATGTAGCCCTATTTATTCCAAACCAGTTCTAGATTTCAATTCTCATTTAAGACTCAAGAGCAACTAATGGAGTTTGATAGTGTTCTGCATTAACAACAGTGTGTGTCAAGACTGATATTTTTCCTCCTTGCGTTTGAAATTTCGTTGTGTATCCACAGCCCAGGAATATGTGATGACAGCAAGGGATGTGGAAAGTTAATGCAGTAGAACCATGAGCAGATTGTACTGATGCAATTCTTTTCATAATCCTATGTACACAAAGGGCAAAACTCTGAGGCATTTCAGCCAGGATGACTGCTATGTCTGGAATATAATGCATGATGAACCTGCAGTTCTATATTTGGTTACTGCTTACGTTCTCCCCACATTAGTCCCAGCTAAAATCAGCTAATTTTCCTAAACTGTTTCCTAAGGATGAGGGGAAGTTATTCACCCACTTAAGCCAATCCCCACCCATCCAAAAGGAGGTCCTGCATCTCCTCACTAGTGAGGAGTTGCTTTCCAGCTCCTCTGGACTCACATAATAGGTCTTCCTTTATGAGCAGCTGCCCTGGACCTTTTCACTCCAGGACTGAAAATGCATTGCACAGAAGAGGACCACTGAAAATTTCATACAGATTTAAGGGCTTCCAAATATTCTTCTCAAGCATGGGAAAAATGAGTCTCCCCTCAGTTCTTTTGTCCTTTCAGCAGCCATAGATACTACACAGACAACTGCAGTGTCAAGGGAAATGACTACGGTACTTTTATGGACTTCAAGCAGGAGATCCATGCAGAGTGACTCCTTTATGTGTGGATCAGAGATTCACTATCTGGAACCATCTTTACTCAACAGAATGGAGATTCGCTACTGTAGAGGACTGTTAAAGTATATGTTTCCTTTCAAGGGAGAGCATGCTGATGGCATACTGGGCAGTTTAAGTATGGGTTGATTTCTATTCAATATATTGCACATCCAGGATCAGACAGACATGTGCACAGTGGCAGAATACGCACAAGTTTAGAGTGTTAACTCAGAAAATATTTTCACTTGCACTGTGTACAGCTACCTATATATATATATATAAATAGAGAGAGAGAGAGAGGGCTGCCATCTACTGTTGATATCAGTACACTTTCTTTAAATATGCATACTTTGACTTGGAGCAGAACCTACTCAATTGGCCTATAGCACCTAGTGAAACAGCAAGAACCAGTTATCTCTTTAAAAAAGAAAATAAGACAATGTCGGTTGAATAAAAATATTTAAATGAGATAGATGTAAGTGAGTCTGGTTGCCTGACACTACCTTATTAAATAATTTAAATGTAATGATAATATATACTAACAGATTGTTAATGTATATAGCTGCTTTCTACTTTGAAGAAAGACAGAATAAAATTGAGAGTTAGAATGAACATTTTATGTTTAGTTGTGATAGCACATTCATTTGAACCCTAACTAGCTCCCCCATCATTTCTATTAAAATGTTCCTTAAGATTTAAAAAAAAAAAAAAAAAAAAAGGATCTATTGAATACTGGTGGGTTGCATATGCCTCACTGACAGTACTTATACCCAGGTCATTCCAAGTAATTTTTTAATTAAAATTAGTGGCTCTAGCAAAAAGATACATACACAGCCATGTTACTACTACTGAGCACCACTTTGAATGTAACCAGACTCTGTTTTTGATAAAATGCCTCAGGAAATCCATCTATGGTCATAACATGCAACTTGTTCAGTGTTATGGTCTCAGAGTGATCCAAACAGCCAAACCCAAAACAGTCTTGGGTCACCGTGGCACATTAAAAATATGAACACAGAGTCATTGTCTCATATGTAAAGGCTGATGATTTATTTAAGATATGTCTTATAAGAATCCTCTCTCATGCTACCAGTGCACTATCATACAGTTAACGGCAATTTCAGAAAACAGGTCTGCACTGCAATATATAATTAAAAAGATTACTAGACATTATAATATGTTTCTCACCATTATTTTGTAGTATTTTGTCAATGGTTGAATTTATAAATATATATTTTCTTGACTTCTATTTGCAATTATCATTTAACTTTGTCAAACCTCTGGAACACAATGAAATGTTTTTTTTTTCCCCTGTAGTCTTTTTTCAGACTTGACAATACTCAAAGTTGGCAGAGATAAACTACACATAGGATATTTTTAGAAAACAATATAGGACTTTAGTTTATGTGGAAATGTAATCCTTTCCAATGAAGTGCAGGGTCCTTCAAAAACTCATGGCATCAGTCTTGCTTCTCTCAAATGCACCCTCTCAGTTCAATCAGTGAATTGAGTTAATGTGTTTCCTGCCAAAAGGATTCAATATTTTCTAAGTTTAGTCTGAACACCGATATTTTACATGTTTTCAGGGATTTTGCTCCAGAAAATTAATCTTGTTTTGACAAAAAGGGAGGGAGGAAAAAGAGATGCACTTTATTTCTTGAGGGTTCAAAGCTTTTGTGTTGGAGTATCGCAGTAAGGAATGTTGTCTAGTAGCAGATCTTTCCTGGGGATAAGCACTGTAACAAAATTATATAATCAGTAAAAACAGTGTTTTATCATCATAATCTACAAAAATATACATGGCCTTTATTATTTGTACAAGCAATGAAGCGGTTTACTACAGAATATCTAGTTTTAAATAAAACCTATGAGAAGCACTATGGTAATTTTGTAATCAACAAAAATGTACTAACATTTTGCATTCTGTTCATCAGAAATTTCTTGCACCTCCTCTACCTAATTGCTGTTAATAATATCTTGGCATATATTTTAACAGTCTATCATTGTTACATTTTGCCAGTTCTCATGTGAAGACATCATAGCAAAACAGGATGGCAAATTACAATGTTTCTGGTAATCCTGATTTCAGTGTATTTAAATATGAATTTCAAAATGCATAAAATACTTTAAAATATACAGACATCTCATTTAATGTCTGCAATATTTATCTGTACTGTTCCTGTTTTAAAAATAGCAGAAAAGGTAAGTGTAAGGTGACATTTATTGCAGGAGAGAAAAAAAAAGTCTGTTAGGTTTCTCTTGGCTGTGCACTGTGCTAACTGCCATTGGCTCTAATAAAGTTTTGAACATCTGGCTCCTTTGATATTCACTTGGGAGTTCTGCACCTGAGGACTTTGCACAAGTTACCCTACCTACAAACTGAGGCACCATGGCTACAAACACAATCCTGTAATTTGATTAATCAGGGAATTACTAAACAAAGGTACAGTAAACCTCTAAAATGCTCCAAATTCCATTCAATGTATGTAATCAGCCACATCTCATTCAAACTGTCATTTTTCCATAAAAGCAAGGAAATTACTTCCCTTGAAGCTGCATTTCTTTTTCATTTTCTGGCTGTGGTACTAAAACAGTATTTAAACACATTTCTAAATGGACTGAAAAATATTTTGTTTATGTTCTACCTACGAAGGAAACATTTGTGCCCCAGGGTTCACATCTACCTTTTTCTCTACATTTTAATGACAATACTGTATGCATGAGAGAGGAATACAAAACCCAAGCAGGACAGAGGAGGAAGTACAGACAAATAAAAAAGGCAGATGGGGACAGAACCTCATGACCTCTCACTGAAAAATAAACTATGGCGCACAACCCACCCGTTACTATAGCAAACCCAAAGTCAAAACCATCAGGATGCACTGCAGATGTGGTACACTGAAGTAAGAAAAGCTCCACTTGTATCAGTTTGTCTGCAGAATAAAAACAAGTTGACTAGAGCCAACTCTCTTGCACAACAGTGGATAAGTTGACTTGACAGGTTGCATAGCAATGTCTCAAAAATCTGTTCAGTGAGATTCTGCATGTGACTAACATAAGCTCTTAGCTGCAAAAAACTTGTTTTCAAACTTGACAATGTCCTGTGCTGTCAGAAATAAGAGTACACCTGGAATATTTTTAGAAAACAAACAGAAGGTTAGTTTCTATGGAAACTTAATCTTTCCCAATGAAATGCATCTTAATAGCTCTCTCTGCATGACAGCTAATAGCCACAATATTCTGATCATCACAGTTTCATAAATTCTTTAATGGCATTTCAAGAACAACCAATGAGATTAGGAATGTAGTTAGTACCATAGTACTATGAGGAAGGTGCAACAAACCAAGTACTGGACAGTTAGGCTACATCTACACTGTGGAGCTATTTCAGGACACCAGAAGTATCCCAAAATATAACGGGCTTGTTATACTTACATCTGTAAACCTCATTCCATGAGGAGTAAGGGACATTTTGGAATAGAGCTCAAATTCGAAATTTGGCACCATATAGACAGGGCCAAATTTTGAAATAAGCTATTTTGAAATGTACTCTAAATAAGCTATGCAATTTGCATAGCTTATTTCGTAGTCTGGGTGCAGTGTAGATACACCCTTATGGAATACCCTGATCACCAAAAAAGTCTCTTCCTCGCCTCTGGCACTTAATAGTGTAGGGATAACATATTAATGTATTGAAAATGATTCCCCCAAATGGAATTTGTTCCCCACAACTTAAAGTGTTTAGATTTATTATTAATTCTTCTTATTATTATTAGTTAAGATTGTTAAATGTGTAGATTTATTATTATTATTGCCCCTTTAGAATATAATGTATTAGGTCATGTAACTTAGAACTGTTAAGAATATAATCCTATGTAGCCAGAAACAGCCCCCCCTTTGTGCTCCAGGGCATGCTCAAGCTTGTGCAAGGGGCTGCTTGAAATTGACATTGCAGAGATACATTGTAACAATGCATTGTCAAGCCACTAACTCTGCTATGGGAGCCAAGCTCTGTAATTGACTAAGGGCATTGTTACATAATTGACGGCTGTTCTCTTTAAAACACTGTAACTTTACTCAGCACTCAGAGAATGTTTTAAGCAATACCACCCAGAAAATTTTGTAACTACAACTTTTATTATTATACAAAATACTGTATGAATGTATGAGAGTGTGCTTGGATGATGAATGAATGGTTCTGAGAGGTGCCAGCCTGAGAATACAGCAACAAAAGGCTGAAGAAGGCGTCAGGTGCCAGTGCAACCAAAAGGTGTCAAGTGGAGAAAACCAAGTACTGGAGGTCCACCCGATGAGATCACTGACGAGCACCTGGCAGCCACCCTGGAGACATCAGCATGATGCAGCAATTTCCATAGACTGGCATAGGAAGAAATTCCTATAAGAACTGGACTAAAAAACTATGGAATTTGAGTCCAAGGTTCTGCTGCCAGCCTACCAGGAGCTTCAGATGCGCATCTGATCAGGACTTCGCTCCCCACTACCATCACTTGTGTACAGAATACCTGGCCAGTATTCTGTCACAAGCAACTTCCAGGCTGGTAACTATAACAAGTACACAGAACCTGAATGAATGAATGTTTATATGTATATGGGTTAAGTAGTTAAACAACGTTGTTTGCTTCTATCTTTTCTTTATTTTTTTTATTATTATCTTTACAATAAATGTGGCTTTTTGCCTTATCCCCCTCATAAGATCCTGCTTGCTTCTATTTGGTACAACAATAGGTGAATTATTATGAAGCATAAGGGTTTGTGTATGTTTTTTAAAACAACCTTTGCTTTTATCCTATCTAATGGAGCCATTAATTATTTCATTATGCATCTGAACATCATCTTTTATTTCTGAACTCCAAGTTCTTGGCCTCAAAGATGTCAATAAGTACCATAAGTTAATGATGTATTGTGTAAAACAGATGCATTTCCTTGTATCAGTTTTAAATTACTGCTTTATCATCATGGAATGTCTCCTTGTTGCTTTATAATGTGAAGGTGTAAATAGGACTATCCTATTTATCTTTATTAGTATTCATTACACTCTGAACATTCGCTTACTTAAGAGAGTCTAGAAATAAAGAGCAGAAAAAATAAAGAGCCAGACATGCTCAATTTTTTGTAATTGTTCTTGCAAAAAGGGAATATCAAACTATAGACCACAGCTTCACATATGAGTACAGGGATCCAAAACTTTCTCAGTCTGACATATAGTCCAGTCATACATATTATACAGAATTTGTACACTATGATTTCTTTAAGTGAGAAGACTAACTTCAGGTGGCTAGTTAAATAACTGTAAAGTAAACGTTTTCATTAAGGTGGTTATTAGCAGCCCCATTATGCCACATGCTGTTAAATGGAGAATAAGAGGCAAAGCATGGGACTCTTTCAAGACACAGAGAGGAAACACTAACAGGTTAGAGATTCAAAAGACCTATTCTTAAAGTTTATGTACCATTAGGCATTGCGGAAGTTCACAGAGAAGATGACATCTTGCTTAACTGAGAGGGTCACTGTTTATTACACACAAAAGAAGAAGTTGACAGCTGATGCTCTCCCATCAACTCCCACCTGAGCTTCTTATGCTGGTGGAGCACTAGAGTTGATGGAAGAGCACTCAGCAGTTGATTTATTGCATTTATATCAAATGTGATAATCAACTCCCACTGGATCCTACTGCCAATCTGGTGGGTAGTGTACACAAGTTCCGAATCTACTTTCCCCAAAGTAATGGCAACACAGAGCAGGAGCCTACCACAGTGCTCATTTTCCCAACAGATGCAAAAGGAGGGGGAAAAATGGTCCATTTTTATGGTGATAAAGGCAGCAGGAGTCCCAGCATGATCAGGACTAGCACCCTACAACAGGAGATAAAAGGAAGAAGAGAGTAAAGGCTCTCCTGAAGAGTATCACAAACTGAGTTCTCTGTGATGCCTGAAAGCTATGAATATGCATGCTTAAAGGAAACATCCATCACACATAGGACTATAGGAAATTTGAAGGCCTGTATATAAGACTTTTTTGGATCAATACTGGAATGAACCCAATACTGCAAAAATGTAAATGGCTTTGGGTTATAATCAAGCAAGCAAGCAACACAATCTTCCAGATACTATCATTTGGCCTATCCCCTCAAATCTAAACTCACTTAGTATTTATCCCAAACTTCAGCTAACAAAAAAGAAACACGCACCCAGTTTCAGATTTTGTCACTGAAGTTTAGCATAGTTCTAAATACCATCAAAAAAGAGTTCTACTTACACAGTCTATCTGAACCTGAGTGAAGTCCCTGTATAACAGATGTTCTGAGTAGAACTTCAACATCTGAACCTATTTTCATAAGCTTGTAAAGAAAAAACAAAGCCATTCAAACAATGCAAAATTACTTTTGTAGACATTTTCCATCTTTGGTAAATATATAAAAATACAACACTTGATTCACCTTTTGAATAATAAGGCATCTTGTATTTACATAGTGCCTTTTATCCTAGACGACCCAAAAGTGCTTTATGAACCCATACATAAGTCATGCTGGTATATCACTCTCTGGGATGAAACAAGTCTACAGTTTGGTAATACACACAGCAGTAGAAAATACTGTATTTAATTGAATCTGCAGGGGGATATTTAGGTAGATATATTACCAGAGCAATCATTTTAATTAGTGTGCAATTATCCTGAACTCCAGGAGGAACAACTTGCAAGAATTGCCATCAGGCAGTCAGGTTATTTACAGTTCTGGTACATTTTGAACTTCTCTCCTTTTTTTCCCTTCCCTAGGCTGACAAGAGGAGTCAGTGGTGCTCAAGGACCAAAAGGAAGGAAGGAGACAAAAAGCAGAAGGAATAGCCTGGGATGAGGCAGTAACCCTCTGTAATTCCTTCCCTGTTTGAGAGGAAACATGACTGGGGGTCTCCATGTGCATGCCCCTTGCCAGAGACAGTACAAGTTGAAATTCCCTAAACCGAGACTCTGTGGTCCGGAAACATCCATGGTCCAACACAGATGTTGCAGGACCACAGAGTCCCAGCACGTGGTAGTGGGGCTGGACGACCTAGGGTCTGGCTGCCTGGCAGGACTGGAAGCTGCAGCAGTGGCAGTGGTGGCAACAGTGCAGTGGTGCTGGGAGCTGCTGCCACAGCAGTGGCCCAGTGGGGTCCAGCGCAGCAGTGCGCAGCTGTCTGGGGGAGCCAAGAGCTGTGGCGTGCAACTTCCAGGGCAGAGGAGGGGAATTAGCAGGGCCTGCAGCAGGTGGGGAGACAGCTGGTATCTTCCCTGGTCCAGCAAAATCCCTCATCTGGGACCAGTCAGGTCTCGAGGCTGCCAGACCGGAGAGGTCCAACCTGTATTTGTTAAATGTCTAGTACTTATGTGTCCAGCAGCGTATATAGCTGCACAAGCGAGAAGCTTAGAAGAAACAAAAATGACTTTCACTGAAAAATTTCTCAAGTAGTTAATTCTTCACTTCTCAACCTAAAACAACATTTAATGTCATAGAGGCTAGAAATTTTTTTTTGCTATGTTCTACCCTGGCAGTTGATGAAGCAACAAATAAATCTGGTCAAGATTTTGAAAAATGGATTTCTGAAGTTAGGCACCAAAGTCTACATACCAGGTACCTGAAGAGGAGGCCTGATTTTCAGAAGTACTGAAGTGCTTGGTGCCAAACAGTTTTGACTGTGTCTGTAAAGCACTCTTTGGTACAGTTATTTGACATTAATGACAATTCAGCATATAAATGCACAATAATTATTAAATATGACAGAGTGTATTTTGTACCTTGGATATCATCATGGCCTTGCTGAAGACCAAGAATTTTATCCACTGATCTATTCACTCAACAAGCACACCAATTAACTAACATCAAAAGAACCAATATTAAACGTGCATTTTGTAGATCACAACTCCCAACAAATATAGCTTTTGAGAATTTTACCTGGCATCTTATCTATATTTCAATTAAAACAGCGTTATAGCATTAAATTAAAAAATAGAACAGATGATAGAACTTGATGCCTAGGACACACAGAAATGTTACTGCTGTTGCACGGCAACAAGCAGACATTGCTAGAGAGAGTTGAATGAATATTCAGAAGTGTTAATGTCAGTGATACGTGGGTGATAGAATGCAAAGTACTGAACTGACTGTCCTGTTTTTTTCCTATAATATATGCTTATACCGCCGGCAATAAATTAAAAGATTTTACAGGTTAACCCCCGCCCATGGGTGGTGGGGACTGCTCTGGTCCTGGTTCCACCATGGAACAAATGGCAGGGGTTACTCTGGTCTCAGCCCCGCTGTGGCCACAAGCAGGATTCAGCCCCAGCCCTGGGCACCAGGGGGCTGCTCCAATCCCAGCCCTGCCTTGGCTGCAAGCAGGGGACTGCTCCAGCCCACTTCACTGCAGACGAGGTCCAGTCCACAAAGCCCACAACGGCCATGGCTTGCTCACAAAGCTCTGGTTGCAAGGCTCAATAAGTGTTTGCAAAGTACTTCTGAGATCCTTTGATAAAAGGTGCTGCTATGTGAATGTAAAGTATTATATTCACATGATAGTATAATAGTGCACTAAGAATGTGTAAGATGAAGAACAGCATCAAAATAACAGTACCTCTGCTATTCTTTCCGAAGAAGTCTCATTCTGATTGTTTCTGAACTCTTCATTTATCTTCTGTCTTGCAGCTAAAGGAGTCAAGTAAAATAAAGTTGTTTCGTTTTAATTCTCTCTCATTATCAGTTTTTTGTCATAAACTGAAAATTCACATTCCTGAGGAGCTAAAAACCATCTTATGTAGACAAATTTGCCCTTTGTTTGTTGAGGCTGCTCTACGGGTATAGTTCTTTTACTATCTGTCTTCTTCCATTGGGAAAGACTATTAATCCTTTTCATATTTCATTTAGACTGGAGCCTAGTGCTCCAAGATTTTTATGAAACGTTAGTATGGGAATAAAACATACCATCAAGCATCACACCAGAAACGTGTTGTAATAGGATTTGTTTTTTAAAAAGCTCAAAATACTGCTATATATAATTAATATTTGGATCTGCTTAGTTCCAATATGTATGTTTATTATCTGCTATGTTGTGTTATTCATTTTAAGAGCAACTGTACACAAACAGGAGCCACATGGATGCTTGGTGGCCTAAGACGTGCTCAGATTAAGCTAAGATTCACTGTTTTAAAAAATCATCAAGACTACAATTTTAGAACCATGTGGTTCTGTTCTGCTTATTTTTTTCTGCTTATATCACAGGTTAATTTTTTTTACTGCTTGATTCTGGCAAGAGATAGAATTTAATCTTTGGGAAGACGCAAGTAAAGGGCAGCAAAGGAAAGGAGAGATTCTCTTATTACTCTGAGATGGGTGAAGGGGGGGAAAAATCAATATCTGAGGCACATTCTCTTTAAGATTTCTCTTCTTGCCTTGTTTCTCTGCAGTCATTTTTTCCCTCAAACCTATTCCTTTTTTCATCTCCTATAAACTGTGTGCACACATGTCTATTTGATGGAAGAGGACAGAAAACTACAACTGGCAAGAACAAACTCCCTTCTTTCTTAAAAGGCTGCTTTTCTGCATTCTCCATAAACTCTCTGCTCCCTCTTCCTTTCACTAGCACTACTTCTTCTGTTAACATAGCAACTTTAGAATCTTCTGATCAGTACTGGCTAGGATGCCAAGATCAGCTATTGTCTGGCTTCCTGACCCTCCCTCATTGTAAGGAAAGGAAAACTAGAGGAAAGAGAGAAGAGGGAAGCAGAGAATAGCATCAAACTGGCTACCTCCCTGTTACAGCAACCCCTTCACCCTCTCCCTTTCTCCATGCCCCCTCCAAAAAAGTTTTCTGGAATAGTTTGAGTGTGTGATCCTCACAGTCATGCACAGATTTTAACTCTTGATAATTTCAAGAAAGCTTGAAACTACTTTCCTTTGTCTTATACGCATATTGGTTTGCTATTGCAGACCTGCTCATTCAAGTAACAGGTTGCTGGCATTAACAGAAAAAAAAAAAACAAAAAAACAAACAAACAAAAAAACCCACCCAGCCACTGGTTTTAAGGGGAGAAAAAAAAAACAGAGTGCACAAAAAAGTTACCAATAAATGTACAAAAGAGGCGCCAAATTGGCCTTTGAAACATTATGAAGTTCTTTAATAGCTAAATAATAATTTATTTGCAGAGTATCAAAAGTTGCATTTTCACTGCCCAGTGAACTGCTATATATTAAACAAATGGTTTGCCTTTGATATGGCTGTAAGAGACTGAAATCAGAGCCCACAGTATTTGTTTAAAATAGACTGTTAAATCCCTAACATTTAGTGATATGTCTAATGAGCGCTCTCTCATCTTCATGCTGGGAAGTAATCTATGAAAATCATGAGATGAAATGATGCTATACTATTACAAATTGACTTTGCTTCTCTGTTTATTAATAAAATATACACACTTCAGTGAACAAATAAAAATGTACTTTAGGAAGAGAAGACTGCTGTTAAGAAGTTTGTTCTTTCTTACGCTGTTCTGATCATGTTAATCTCAAAGGGTATGTCTACACAGCAAAGTTATTTTGAAATAACAGCCATTATTTCAAAATAACTTCACTAGCATCTACACAGAAATTAATTTGAAATAGCAGAGTGCTTATTTCAAATGTGGTAAACCTCATTCCACGAGGAATAATGCCATATTTGAAATATTTGAGACTCCTTTCCCCAGTCTAAACAGAGTTTCATCCCACCCGCCCCAGTTTTGTTAAATAAAGAGAGTTTGTATTCATGAGAATATATGTATTTTATTTGACATCAGGAAGGGGGGTTAAGGAGGGGTAAGTGGAAATGTGAGAGAAGAATGAGGCACAAGCCCCCAGTGGGGCAGACCATGGAGGCTCCTCAGGGTGGAAGCTCTCCCGCAGGGCCTCCTGGACACTGACAGCCCCCCGATGGACCTCCTGAATGGCAGCCTGCAGAAAGTGCAGCCAGGCTGTCAGCAACGCATCCAAGAGAAGTGCCAGACAGAGTGCCCAGGGGCAGCTCTGGCTCCATGTTGCAGAATGCTGTGGTGTCCCAAATGAGGGCAATCAGAACACGCAGAGGCAAAATGCTTTGCTGTCCCTCATCGAGATAGGCAAACAAGCAGGGAAACCTGAGAACTGGCTGTCCTGGGGGGGAGGGGGGGGCC